TGAACTCTGGGCCTGGGCACTGTCCCTCAGCTCTTCAGCTTAAGGTTAGCGCTCTACCACTTGAGCCACAGTGCCACTTCCAGCTTTTTTCTTATGTGGTGCTGAGGAATCAAACCCAGGGCCTCATGCAAGCAAGGCAAGCACTCTACCACTGAGCCACCTTCCTAGCCCTTCTTAAGCTTTAAATTGGTACCTCTCCACCTTTTCTCAGATGGATTTACCTTTGTCTATCCTTTGAAAGTTGTGCTTCTTAGTAAAATGGAAGTCATCTTTAAAAATACCTGCCAGATTTTTAAAAGGCAAAAACTTTACCCTCTTTATTAGTAAGCAAGTATATGTCATAATCTTTCACATAGTAAGGGCCATGAGGAATGTGGATATTCCAAATAACATTTAGGTTTTGCTTTCACATGGATTTATTTACTTTATTTATTTATTGAATGTTTGTATGAGCTTACTATAGAGTAAAAAAAAAATTTTTTTTCCCCAGCTGTGGGGCTTAAACTCAGGGCCTGGGCACTATCCCTAAGCTTCTTTTTGCTCAAGGCTAGCACTCTACCACCAGCCACAGAGCCACTTCGGGCTTTTTCTGTTAATGTGGTACTGAGGAACTGAATGAACCCAGGGTTTCATGCATCCTAGGCGAGCACTCTTCCACTAAGCCACATTCCCAGCTCCCAATATTGTATTTTTTATTCATTGTATAAATTTGATTGAGGGGCACTCAGATACTCACTGGGTACGTACTGTTATCCTTATATGCATTTTGTTGGTGGTGGTGGTGGTTGTGGGGCAAGAATGCTGGGACTGGGTACAGCCCCTGAGCTCTTCAGCTCAAGGCTAATGCTCTACCACTTGAGCCACAGCACCACTTTGGTTTTCTGGTGGTTTTATTAGAGATACGAATCTCACAGACTTTCCTGCCCAGTCTGGCTTTGAACTGAGATTCTCAGATCTCAGCCTCTTAAGTAGCTAGGATTATAGGCATGAGCCACAGATGCCCAACTGCATTTCTTTTTTTTTTTTTGGGTCTGGTCGTGGGGCCTGAACTCTGGGCCTGGGCGCTGTCCCTCAGCTCTTCAGCTCAAGGC